AACGGTCTGCTGGTGGTGTACTGGTTGCCATTTTGAACGTCCCCGCTGCCGAACGGTCTGCCGGAGTTGTACTGGTTGTCGTTCTGGGCCCCACCGCTGCCGAATGGTCTGCTGGTGGTGTACTGATTTCCGTTTTGAACTCCACCGCTCCCGAACGGTCTGCCCGTGTTGTACTGGTTGCCGGTTTGGTCTGGGCGAGGCCGAACAGGGCCACCACTGGCTCCGCTGGTGGGCACATTCGTAGGATATGGGTTGCCGCTGGGATCCCCGCTGATTGACGGGTTGTTGTTGTGAAATGGGGCGTTGCCCGTTTGGCCGTTGAGGAAGGGGTTGTTGTTGAACTGGCCACTGCCGCCGCCCCCATCTGGCAGGCCATTGAAGAACGGGTTACCGCCGCCGAATGGGAAGCCGTTGTTGCCGAAGCCGAAAGGGCTGCTCCCGAACAGGCCGGGGAGGCCGGGCCGGCCCGTGCCGAAGCCAAACAGCTGGCGTGCGCTGACGGAGCTGCGGTTCTCTTTGGAGTCTGCTCCTTCGGATGACTCACCTGCGCACAAACGCGCGTGTTGAGGCTCGGCAATGTTGACTCAAGCAGTCGCCCTACATTTAGTTTGTCCTGTGAAAACTTACTCGATTTGTCCGCAAACACTGCCGTCGGAGATGAGATGGCTACGGCCAGCAGCAGGGCCGCGGTCACGGCCGCCATCGGGGAGGCTGTGGTGAAGGTCGTGGCCATGGCACGGTGGCTGCGAGCTTGTCTCTGCTGCACTACGTGGTGCGCGCGCCGGGACGGACGGGGCGGACTGACGAGACGAACGACGAACCGACGTGATCCGATTTACTGGACCACGCACCACGAACTATCTCGGCTTCGGCTCTTCCCCCAGCTCGGGCTCGGGGCTGCGTCGTTGGGGCTTCGAGGGGTGATGTTCGGGTTAAGTGGGGGAAGGGCGACAGAGAGTGTGTGTGAGAGAGTGCTTTACCGCCATTATCACATTATCAGCGACGACTCGCAGAAAGCGGAAGAGAAAATAAAAAGAGTGGGGGCGTTTTCTTCCGGAAGAGACTGTCTAAAAACTAAAAATGGATAACTGGCCAAAAAAGTCACAGTAAGATCGCAAGTTTGCAATTTATTTAATTTCGATTTCGGTAGTGGTGACAGGTGACTTTCGTTCGCTCAGGCTAGGCCGCGTTTCAATGTTGTTTTTTCCTATTATGTGTCTCCGACCAGATGGGGTGCTCGTTTTGGAAACAAAGCATTCGGAACAGATTCGCCTAATCGGGCTCGAGGCTCGAGATGGTGCCGGTGACCAGACGATTATTGAGCTGCGGAAAAATTTGCGACAGAAGTAGAACAGTGGCAGATAGGGTAAAACCAGAGCGCGGTGGTCTGGGGCGGCCGTGGTGGGGGCCGCAGGTCGCGGCCATGCTGCAGCGGGCCACGCGAAAGCACCCCCTCTTTGCCCCTTTCTCTCACGTCACATGACCCGCCAGCCCGCATCACGGGTCACAGACCGTGAGCTTGCCGCTGCTTGCCGCTGCCTCGAGAGTGCGCCCGGGGAAGTCCGCCCCGAGGAGCGGGCGGGGGGG